AAGCTACCAGCACAACTATGTTTATTGCAGCATTATTCACCATACCTAAAATATGGAACCAACCCAGATGCCCCTCAGTAGATGAACAGATTAAGAAAATGTGATATATATATGTGTGTGTGTGTGTGTGTATATATATATATATATATGAATTCTATGCCTCCATCAGAAATAATGACATCGCCCCATTTGTTAGGAAATGAAAAGAATTGGAAAAAAATTATATTAAGTGAAGTAAGCCAGACCCAAAGAAACATAGGTCCCATGGTTTCCCTTATTTACAATAACTAGAATATGTCTAGGATAATCTTACCAGACAAGCAGAAAAGATCAAAAGCTATGTACATATGACCATACAAGATGATGCTAAGCAAAATGAACCCCAAGATAGGGACACAAGAGGTTTTATCTTTGTTGCTGTTTTTTTTAAATGTACTTACAATGTTCTATTTGATTTTTTTGTTTCTTTTGTATGATCTTCCCAGAGCTTATCTTTTTATTGTGTTTGTTATTTTTATTGATTAAAAAATCCTATGTATTTATGATGTATATCATTGTGTTTTCAAATACGCATACATTTTGGATTGGCTAATTGAGTTAATTATTATACATCCTTATCATTCACGTGTTAAGCATATTTTGTGATAAGAATACTTAAAATCTGCACACTGTGATTACCAGTTATACAAAATATTCTTAACTATAATAGCCAGGATTACGGTATATAGAGCTCTTGAGTTTGTTTCTTCTGTGTAAAGGGATTTTGGATCTTTTGACCCTCCTCCCTAGTAACCACAGTTCTACCTGATTTTGACTAGAGAAGGGATAGAGAAGACAGCCCTCATTTTTCTCTTTCATCCTCCACCTACATGTTATATGCTTTCTGCACTATGGGGTCCCTTGCAGCTCTGAAAGCAGGTTTGGAAACATGTTGAATAGGTCCCCTCCAGTTAGAGATGACAACATCAGCGCAAGTCAGTCATTGGAGACAGATGTGTGTGCTGTAGGGAATGAATGATTTGTATGTGACAGAAATCTCCCCTCTGCCAATGCCACTTGCAGTGACTTCATGTTTTATGGGCACCAAACACAAATTCAGGATTAGAAAGAAAATAGAGATAATTTAGAGACTTTTGTCACTGTTTAGGAACTAGCTGATTAAATTTTTTTTTAAATCTTGTTGTGATACATGTTAAAGATTTTTGAGACTGTGAGAAATTTTTCTGCTCTGAAAACTTTTTCTAAATCTAAGAAAGTGCATAGGGATTCAGAGTCATGAGTCTCATAATATTGAAATAGTGAGAGGGATTGCTGCGTTTGTTCATTACCCAATTAGTAATAGTTTTGTTTTGGAGGCTTGTCATGGACAGGATTCACCTGGTGGGAGTTTCTCTAGTTGAGATCAAAAAGGTTCAGCATGGCAGGATGAAGGATTTCAGGGCCTTGAAATTCCTGGGTGAGGTTCATTATCTGCTTTTAATTTTCCCACTTTTCCTGCCTTCCATTTATCCTTTCCTTAAAGGCTCATGAGATCTTGCTTTTTTCTTCCTTTTCCATGTTAATAACATCAGTTAAGATGCCATTTTTCTTTCTCTACTTAATTGACACTTTCTTTTCCTGTTTTGTTTTCTTCATTTTGATAAACTTGCATGAACACCACTATACCACCCTTTTCTACACACCCCTTCGTACACACGCCAAGATTAAAAATGAATGTTTACAGTAGAAACTATGTTAAGAATGAACTATACAACTTGTATGTGGGAAAAGGAGGGAAAAACTGAGAGAACAGAGGAAGGGGTGACATTGTCCAAAAACAAATATGCCCACCATTTCTGTGTTTCCCCTTTCACGGACATGGTGGGATAAAGGCCGAACAAATGCACCTGTGATACTCACTAGATACTGTGTTGAAATGAACTTTACAACTTGTTGGGAATGGGGTTGGGAGAGAAAAACTGGGAGAAAAATGAATTCATTACCTGACTTGTGAAACAGTAATCTCTATATATCACCTTTATAATAACAAAAAATTCAAAAAAAGAAACCATTTACTGGGGGAAAATGGAGTATTTAACTGGGTGTATAAAAATTATGTGCAATATATTGATTTATTAAATAAACTATGAGGTTAAGCAACTAAGGGAAGTGTATGCCAAATCTTAAAGGCGGTCTAATTTGAAAACAATTTATAAAATATAGTCTTCCATAATTTTAAATTTTTCTAATTTAATTTTAATCAAGTACTTAATACATAGCTATTAACAATCAAATGATGATTAAAAGTTATCACTGAAAAGTTGAATTCCCACTTTTTTCTCAGATTCACTCCCACCCCTGCTTTTCATAGAAGAGAAAGAACTCCCTTGGGTGTCTTTATATTAAGTAAATAAGTGAGAAGATATACAGAAGTTATTGTAGTAAATACTAATACATAGTGACCTGTACGTTATCTTTTTTCCATAAACACTATATTCTGGAAGTATTTTCACATTAGTACTTGGAAAATTGTCCCATTTGATGGTTATTCAGAGTTGTAGCTTACTACAATTTATTTTGGTTTTGCCTGATTAAGACTTTGAGTTCTTTCAAGTCTTTTACCATAAAAATAATGATGAAATGATCTATGTACTCTATAGATAGATTATCTCAGCCATCGTTAGATCTACTGTAACTGCCAGAAGAATTTCCCAGAAGTGTTATCTCTGGTTCAGAAGTAAATGCCTTTATAATGTTGAATAATAATTATGGCATCTGCCCTTGGTAAGAGTTGCATTATTTTTTACTCCCATCAGTCATATATGAGAATGTCTCTTTCACACAAAGTATGATTCAGAATTCTCAAATTCGGCCAATTACGGAGGTCTAACATTTGTTATGGTACTTATTTATTTTGTTCTTTTATTTATACTTATTTATTTTGTTATTTTATTCTTTTTATAAAATTGGAACTTTTGTGTATTTAATAGCCATTGTATTTTGTTATTTACTATGTGATGTTTTTATGGCCTTTGATCATTTTTCTAACTTTCTTGTTGGGTCTTTCCTCTTGATCTCTAGCCATCCTCTATGATTTAAGTTGGAAACATATCTACCCAATTAACTGTTCATCCTTTGTCTTCATTTCATTTCATTTCCTCTTTAAAACAAGATAAAAGTAAAGGCAGCTCACTTTATGTAGCTTTATGGAAGTGACTGTGCATGCGAAAACCATATAATGTCTTAACAACAGAGAAAATTGTCATTGTTTTGAAACTTCTACAAATTAGTCAAATATATAGAAATGAAATTAAGGAAACTAAGTAAGTTCACTATAATATTAGAAACATTGAGAATTTGTCTATTTATTTTTAAGAATCTTATTAAAAATAGTTTGAACAGTGAGTGCATACTGTCTTGCTTCTGCACATAGTACAATGCAGCCCGAACATTTATTCTAGGCCATAGCAAACTGCCATATTTCTGTATTGGATCAGTATTTTATTCTTCCTTTTTTCCTTGTGAAATCTCTAAGAAATCCTTTAATGTGAAGTTTTGTGCCCAAATCACTCTCTGCATACTATCTCTTCTTCACCTTCCTCCCTTCTTCATAAGCACTTTCTTCATTTATGCTGAGAATTTGCCTTTGGCTACATATTTCTCTCAAATAGCAGCCTTGTCCATTGCCAGAGTCTTGTATTTCTTCTCTAGTTCAGTTGCAGTGTTTCACATTCAGTTTTGTTTTTGTCTTAGCCAGTTCCTTCTCTGTTGTCCATGTTTCTAAAACACAGAGGCAAGAAGAGACATGGGAGACAAGAAGACCCCACAGCCACAAACTGAATAGCAACTGAACAGTTTCTGATAGACATGGACAAAGTAATGTTACTGGCTATCAGTCAAGATGTGCACCAGTTACTTGCTTAGAGAAGAACTAATCGTGGTACTTTCTACTTTATGCAGTTATTCAGTTAATATACTATGGTAACTATCTGTGACTCTATGGGATTTAAACCATGTTGTTGGGCAAATGATGCTCTGTACTAAAACTGTGGTGAGTTAAATTCCTGAATATCAAACCACACAAAGTAGGAACAGTCCCTATTTAAAAAAAAAAAGTTAAAACAAAACACCTACACACTCATTTCTGAGACTCATAAATTTTTGCTATATACTTTAATTGATTTGGTACAAATGTTACAAATAAAGTTGATATTCTCCTTTGTTCCCTAACTCAAGTCCCATTCCCTTTCTTCATCTGCAGACCCAGCATCATTATGAATTTAAAGCGTATCTACCATTCTTTTTCCCTTCCCTTTCTATCTCCCCCATACCTCTCCCTCCATGCTCCCTCCCTCCTCCTCTTCCCCAACTTCCCTCTCTATTTAAATGTATACTTGTGAATGTTTCGATGAGAAATATACATATTATTTTTACCACAATTTTATTTTTTGGTTATTACCCTTTTTTTCTTTGCCTCTTGCACTCTTTTCCTTTTATTTTTTATTTATTTGTATTTGAGTTAACATGTATTTGTAATATGTAGGGGTTTCTTTGTGACATTTCTATACATGTACCCAGTATACTTTGAACAAGTTTACATCCTTCACTATATTCCCATCCTTCTCTCTTTCTACTTCCCTTTTCAAACAGCATTTGATATATTTCATTATGCTGTATTTATATATACATGTTACATATATGTACATATGTATGTATATGTATATGTTATGTGACATTCTTCTATCCTCTTTACCTCTCTTATATCCCCCTTTTCTACCACCACCTTTCTATTCATCGTATATATGTCCTTCTTGAAGTACTAAAATTAATTAATTTCTTTATTTCTCCTCAAGGTTAGAAATCATGCTGTTCTATTTCATCCCATTTCTATTTACTTAGTAGATTATTTTTAAAGTAGATTATTATTATTATATATAAATGGGCTGGTGATCTTACTCTCTCCATGAGAATAGCCATGGATATTCTGAAATATTTAACTATCTTTTCACTCTGTCTTCTAGATTCATTCAAGAGATTGAGCACGCCTTGGGACTTGGCCCAACCAAACAGTGTCCTCTTCGAGAGTTTCTCACCATGTACATCAAAAACATCTTCCTCAATCAAGTCTTGGCTGAGATCGACAAGGAGATTGAAGGGGTCACTAAAACATCTGACCCCCTGAAGATCCTAGCTAATGCAGATACCATGAAGGTGCTGGGGGTACAGCGGCCTCTCCTACAGGTAATAAGACACTACAGCGTACTATTTTTGTCAGCATTTTTTATTGACTTGGCAAGACTCATTTGTTAACAAAAGTACAATTACCATCTGTATCCATATTCATCAGGGACAAAACAAGAAGAAAGAAATTACATAGACACTAGGGAAATTCGGTCTAATATAATTGGATAATGGAAATTCCTTACAATCTTTAAGGAAGAAAATAAAAGGTTAACTTTGAATATGGGAGATGGTGAGTCTCATTAACATGCAAGCCAGGCTTCATTGTTGGCCTAGAATATGTCCTTGACAGGAAAAATTCTTACATGGGTAAATGTATAACAGAGTAAGAAGGATTAACAGAAAGGAAATGAGTTACTTTATCTAACCTCAATTAGCAGTAGGAAACCCTCTATGCCTTTTGAGGGCAGACTTCCTGTAAATAACTTGACTAGCTCACAGAAAATAGGAATTAATACACTGGTTTTTAAAAGATTGTTTAATTCAAGTCTTGATCTTGTTAATATTGAACATTTTTACTTCTACCCTCTAAAGAAGTAGTTTTTATGCTATAGAAATAAAATTGTTAGTAGGCATTGTTGATTAACAGGTTTGCTGTATATATTTCATATACTTTTCAACTAATATTTGGACATAAACTTAAAACTTAAAGGAAATTAGAATAAGTGCAAATTATGGGTCTACATTATTACATTGTAACTTAATCTTTGTAGTATTTCTTTAAAGGAACAATGGGCACTAAACCACATGTTTATGTAAGTTGGGCAGTATGAGAATACTCAAGGGCAGAAGGTATGAGCTCTTCAAAAGAAGCTGTATAATGGAAAAGAATTATACTTGCTTCATTTACATGCCTTCAGTTGTCTTTCTCTGCCCTTCTCTGTGTCTTCCTTGATTTTTCCTTCTGTGTACGTTATAGATCTACTTAAGTATCATAGTTATGAGTATTCTTTTTATCTTATGACCCAAACTCATCTGTGATAGTAAGAAAATTGAATGCATATATCTCATGTCAGAAGATACTTGTGTGAGTTATCTGGGACTGAATTAGATATGAGGACTCTGTCCTGGGTCTGGAGTGCAAATGTGGGGAAATGGCATTGGCATCCATTTGCTCCTTCTACTGGATCACTGTTCACTGGCTCTTGACAAGGCTAGGATCTTTTCTCTGAGTCTTAGTTGCAGTATCAACTCCATTGGAAGTTTTTTCTTTTTTTTTTGGGGGGGGGGTCCAGTCGTGGGGCCTGAACTCTGGGCCTGGGCGCTGTCCCTCAGCTCTTCAGCTCAAGGCTAGTGCTCTACCACTTGAGCCACAGCGCCACT